TGCCCATACGTAGCCCTTGGACTGTGGGATTGATTACTACTTGCCTATTGGAAAAAAAAATTCACGAAACATACAGAAATCAGATACCAAATGTTGTAGCGACACTGTTTTTGAAGTGAAACTTCTTTAGGCGCATGAGGGTAATTTTTTTACGGATACGTCACGAAGATGTGCAGCGTTTTTGTCGAAGAAAAGGGAGAGAGTGATTGAGACCGATTGAGAGAGAGTGAGGAGGGCGAATTACCTTATAGACATTCTATTTTAATTTATAAAAATTAAATTTAAAATTTGTATTAATTTTCGAAACTATTAATATTTTAATGACAAGTAAATCCATTTAATTTGTTACATATCTTCCTTTTTTCCACCCTCTAAGTCTCGGAAATCTGAAGTTTTAGATTTGTATAAAATATACAAAAGTTTCATTTCTAACATGTGTACATTGTACGCACGCACTTTTTTTTTAAAGTTCTAATTCGAATTTCAAAGAAATTCAGCCGGAATCAGAAAAAATTTAAGAGCGTGGATTTTCCCGAATAAACTAAAAAGCTTTCTTGTACTGATATACCTACACTTGGGTATTTGATGACGTAAGCTGCTCTAGTGAGCTTGTCATGTGATGAGATAAAAGGATTTGTGTGTCGTCAAACCGAATTCGATATTGCAATTCGTAGATTAGACTCTGTTCTAGAAATTTCGTAGAAACAAAAATAATACGCGAGATGTATTGTATTACATTACTAGACCACTGTAAGTAGTGTTATTGGACACTTTTAAATATCTTTATAAGTGAATTTGGTTAAACTAAAATTACTTATTAGTCTTAAGTTAGACTAGATCGTAATGTTCCATGATGTCTTAGTCAAGACACATGTATTAAAAAAAAAATTACTTTACCTACTAGACTGTTTTGGCTTTGTATGAGTAGATTTTTTTGAGATATTTTAAAAATAAATAAAGTCTATGTTACTCTGTCATAGCATATAAATGTGTTTTTAAATCCGTTCACTAGTTGGTGAGTTCTCTTGTCTTCGATACAAAACTACGAATCTTTATAATAGATTTGCACTTGAACATAAAAAATATATTAACCGTTACAGGCATTGGGCATTCTTATAACTAAAATCTTCCACGACAACCCGTGATAAAAAACAAAAGAAAGCAAATTTAATGTTAGATATATGTTATTTATGCACACAGAAAGAACAGGCTATTAATTCAGCCGGGGTTCAAACGCTCGACCTCGAGTTTCAGCGCTTAGGCCAACTGTACTCTGATGAATAGGTTATTTTTGAGTATAATGAAAACAAATATAAATGTATAACATAGCGAAGGTATAATTACCAACATATAAATCATTAAATACACGATTTGTATTAGTCGAAAATTTCGCCGAGTACTCGCCAATTTTAAAGCATCCTTAAGACGGGTAATTTTTACCTAACGAACACAAAAGATTACAAAGTCCCTCAAAGCCCTTGCGGAAGCTTAAACGTAGGTCAAGAGGTCTCTTCCTGCGATCCAATTTACCAGGAGTTCAAAGGGAGTCGTATTTCCATCCATATTGTTCTGATTTTACTGACATTTTGTATGATTTACAGTGCATTTAGCATTAAATTATGTTTAGTGAATTCAACTGCATTAGTTCAGTCTTAGCGTGAAGTGATTTATCAAGTGCAAAGGTTCAGCTTTATAATGACTAGTATAGGGTCAGGTGGGGTAAATGCGAGTACCATAACTAGATTGACTTGTTATTTTGTGGTCTTTTACAATTTACAAATAATTTTTACTGTGAATATTAAACATGTTTTAGGCTTTTGCTTGATGTAATTACTTATATTTAATCATGGATAATTACAGATTAACTCTCTATTGCATTTTCCCGGTGTAAAGGGGTAAACGTTAAAAATATGTTAAAATTCTAATAGTGTAAATAGTTACTAATCTGGGGTAATAGCAATAAAATACGCAAATTGAAATATACTTTGGTTTTTATTGCAACGAGATTGGTGAAAATCTGTCAATCCATCAGATTCAATAAGTTGTCAAAGTGTAATGCAAGAAGTACTTTACGTGTATAAGAGATGCCAGCACTAGTTTATTTTGTGTGTAAACAGTTAAAGTTATGGTATTACATTTGCCCCGTTCATTCATTTACCCCACCTGACTATAGATTGTTTTCAAATAGTGTCTAGTAAAAAAAACACCTCAGATATTGTTATCTGTTTCGTGATATTTTTTGTTTCTAATAAGAAAGTAGGTGAAGTAGGCAAAGGTATTCTTCTATGCTTGACACACGCCGTGGATTTTGAGTCTAATGCTTGCCGGTTTCACGATGTTTTCTTTAACCGTAAGATTGAATGTTAAATGCATACTATACATTTCCATTGGTGCACCGACTTAGATGGACTACCTCAGGGACGAAAGTCGCTCAAGGAATTAGCTCTAGTACGTTATACAAACATCACCGAAACAAACGAAAATCCGTTATGCTCGTCCGGCAATCTTGGCTTAGTAGGAAACGCACACGGTGTATAAACCGAAAGTCCCGACTTCGTTTTAAAAACACTTAATATTTTAGATTCTACAGTTAATAATGATGAAATGCATTTCGGTACGTGACTACGAAGTACAGTAATCACATCGAAAAATGAATTTTTATGAGAGTATGACAATTTGGCCTAGTGGCTATTCAGCGTCTCTCCACTCTGACGTTGTGAATTCGAATCACGGCTGAACAATGCAATGTACACAACTAACACTGGGCCGTACGGTGAAGGAAAACATGATGAGAAAACAGGTATCCCTTCTCACCTAATTGATTAGGAAAATATTTATCAGGAAACAGAGAATTACTGAGGTGAAGATATGGTTAAGTTTAAATAAAAAACGTCATCCGAAAATATTATTTATTATCACATAGATTAATACAAAAACTTAAAATTATTGATCCCGTCCATAAATTTCTACACAATTAGTGCCGTTTTCGAAATTCTACATTTTCTTTATTCTGTAGTCAAAAATTAAAGATAAAAAGCAGTCTTTTCACTGATACACTTGTGTAAATGTTTTGTCACGTTTATTTATTTGCAGAGTGATAAGGACAAAATTTAAAAAAATCTATTCGAGGCTTTTACATAAGAGGGTCTCACTCGATGTTTGCAAATTACTAATGCCCGTATTCCAAGTCACAATCGCTTGGACGCTGTAAAAATTAAAAGTTTAAATAGATGATTTGATTTTCAGATTGAATTAAGTGGACTATATATATATATATATATATATATATATATAATAGGGGCCTCAGAAAATTTAAAAGCAGGACTACAAGGTTTCAAATCAACGGCGAATCTTTACTGAAACTGGAGAAGTAAACATTAGATGCGATATTGAAGAATATAGTAAAAGAGCATACCGATTCTTTAATGGAAGCAACAGACTTGCAAGTCTTTTGGCAGTATAAGTGTCCATGTATGGTATCCCTAACTCAGGTGAGGGCAAAGAAAACCGCATAAACAAATTTCACTTAAGTCTTAAGGCTAGAACTTTCAATACAACTAAGCAACTATTTATCATTCGATGCTATTAACAATTAAAATTATAAAAGGCCGGCAACGCATCCCCCAAAATGTGTATAATCCTAATTGACGCCCACGACTATGTGGCTACCCACTATTTCCGAATCAATTCGACTTAGGGTCCTTCAAGAAGAGAGCGTACCAATACATAAAAGGCAACCGACTCATGAGCCCTCTGGCATTGTGTCCATGGGCCCGGTATCACTTAAAATCAGGTAAGCCTCCTGCTCTTGCCCCCGGTTCTATAAAAAAATACTAGAGATTTTTAAAGGTGTTCCAAGCTCTAACCAGGTTCACAACTACACGAATAACTTACGATAAAAAAATTTTAATTGACATATAATATATCTTTGGGTGAATCACAAAATACGAAAGATTACACTTTTATTAAGATTATTATAAAAACTAAATGCGTCTAATTGCACTATACCACTCTCTATCTGTCAAATTTTGTTTACTTCGTGATGGAAGGAAATAGCACTTCACCAAAAATGATACAATTTATATAATGAAAAAAGATAACAGAATTTATAGCTTTTTGGATCTTCAATATCATTTTTTATAACAAAAATATATTTAAAGCAAGAAATTTACTTTTAACTTCAAGCCTATATTTAAAAAAATCTCACAATCTCAATTTTAACTACAATATAAGTGCTGTCATTGAATCCTCTGTGTTAAAATTTCTCAATTATCGTCAATACATCGTGAAGTCGAACTTCAAAAATAAAACTAGAAAATATTCATCTCAATATTATTTTAAGGTAACATTTGAAATAAATTATAATACTTTAAAGAATAAACTTATTTGAAAGTCCTATAAAAATATAAAAGACCTTAAAAACTTTTATTACAAGTCCAATTCAAAAATTATTTTAAGTTGATATTCATATTTGTTTCTCCGGTATCGAATCTAAAACATGGGATACAATGTGCTCTCAATGGCGGTGTCATCTAAGCTATTCGGCTTGATAAGTGATATAATTAATAAATAATCTCTTAAAATCATGGTATTTTTTTCTGGTTTACAAAACGTTTATCTTATAAACTAATTTTCAGTCTACATTTAAAATTAGATAGAAAAATAACTACTAAAACCTTATTAATAAAAAATCAGCAAGCTAAAAGGACTGATCTGTCGTTATTCAGTTAAAACAGTGGAATAAGACTGATTTACTGTAATAGTTTCAGCTTGAAAGTTGAAATAATTGAAAATATATACAAATAATAAAGATAAAATATGATTTTTGTTTTTTAATGACCACAATTTTTTTTAATGAAGTGGTTGCGTAACAGATTAATAATTTCAAACGATTATATAAAGTCAAAATAATAAAAAAACCTAACGTCATATAAAATTTAACTTTTTCAAATAATGTTATATTGTGACAAAAAATTACAGACACACAATTATGTCTATATTTAAAGAGCTGTGGAGGTTACCGACTTCAGCCCTCGCACTAATATCGTTGGTGAGAGATCCTTCGTGAAGTCTTCTAAAACCTGTAATATAATTAAAACCCTATTTATCGACAATTTTTTGTAAACTGTACAGCTTTATAAACATGACACAAAATACACACTTTGTACAGACTAAACAATAACATATAATGCGTATAGAATGACGTTATTATTTATTATTCAATGACGTTAATTAATAGTATTCTAAGGATATCTTTTTAAAAAGAGTTGTTTAGAGGGTATGGAATATCTGGTGTTGAAAAAAGGTTGTATAGGTAAATGCTTAAATAATGAATGTTTTTGCTATGAAATGTTGGACGAACTGAATATGGGGTATTTCTAGTCCCTGTCAGAGAAGTATTAAAGCGCATATGTTTTGGACAAAATACTTAAAATAAATTTAAACCAAGAATTAAAAATATAGATATAAAACATAGACTAAGTATGTTACCATGGTTACGTAATCTATGTTGGAATGGTAACCATGACAACAAAACACGTTACTATCTACGTTTATTATGTATGGGATTATATTACCAATTTTATTGTAACCACACTAAGTCGTTAAAAATAACGGCAACACACCAGCCCTCTGGCAATGTGTCTATGGGCGGCGGTATCACTTATCATCAGATGAGCCTCCTGCTCGTTTGCCCAAACTTTAATGTGCCCGTATGCTCTTAAGACTATGTAAAGATGGCGAATTTTTATTAATATGCTGAAAAACATGACATAAATATAATAATACTAGCTGACCCGACAAACGTTGTTTTGTCATGTATATTATTTCTAAACATTGTTTTAGTTCAATTAAAATAACTATCTGCTGTAATAAAAAATAGGAGTTGATCGTAGAAGAGTGAAAATTAAGGGTTGTAGGTATTTTTATTTTTGTACCATAAAAAAAAACAAAAAAATTGTTGGGGTGGACACTCAAAGGTTTGAAAGATAGGTAGTAGCTAGTAGCGATACTCAGATTTACTGAATATGCATAAAAAATTTCATAAGAATCGGTCGAGCCGTTTGGGAGGATTATGGGAACGAACAAAGTGACACGAGAATTTTATATATTAGATAATAATTATTTTGGCCCGGTTTTTAAAGCCTCTCAACCCTGTGAATTTCACTTGCTAACTAAAACTTGATCCTTGAAGGCAAACTGTGGAAACTACTTTTTCTTAATTCCAAAAATCTACTTCTCTATATTAAAACAGTTGCAATCTGCGCTCAATATAGTGTTGCAGCACCACTTTTTTATTATTTTACAGTAATATTAAAAATATTTTGTATGTATGTATAAAAAAATGCGCCATCTATGCATAGCATTAGCTAACCTTACACTCTGCAATTGAAAAACCCCTGATTTGATTTAAATTTCATGAATTACAGAGTTCGTGCACAGATTATAAAATATATTTTCTATCCCCAAAACTCTACGTACCTGAAGATACTGTTCGCATACGGGTTCATCTGCGTCACTCGCGTGCGGGGCCAACTTCGGTGGATGCGGTAATTGGACAAATGTGACCGCTGCCCCGTCTTCACAGCGACTCTTGATTATTTGATTTACCCTAGACAAAAATTAACGATGTAAAATTACATGAAACAAAAGTGAGCCCAACATAGCTTATAATTAAACCTCTATACCTTACATATAACCTTTTAAACACGTTAGTATTATTAGGTCAGTGACTCATCATAGATACCTAATAAAAAGCCGCTAGTTAGAAATTATTAAAACTTATAAAATTTCTGTATTATTATAGGTAAAATCAGGCACAGGAGGCTGATCACCTACTTCCCTATTAGAGAAATGATCATGAAACAGATACAGAATTTTGAGGCCCAGATCTAAAAAATTTGTAGCGCCATTGATTACGTTATTTTATTATAAATAAAATGGTCATTTTAATATTGTATTTAAGCTATATTTATTATAATCTCAATATTTCTTATTACTTAGAATAAAGTTGTAATTTTATATCCTTATTATCATTGTTAATTGAACTATTTTTCATCGCTTGTGACGATATAGTACGTGTTTGATAAAAACCTAATCTAGCCCTTTCTTCTAATATAATACCTACCATTCCAACAAAATTATATAGTAACTTTATCTGTCTATACTATGTAACATCCATATAATTTGAGATAAATTACTAGCAGATGATCAATTGAAATTGCGCCATCTTTGATTAGCAACTAACAACTCTTTAAACTAGAATTAAGTTTCATTGATGATCTAGAGTGGGAGCCTGAGTGTTAGCCTTTTAGGAATGCTTGCAAGACTAGTTTTAAACAAACACTTTGAACGGAAAACTAACTTTTTATTCCTGCTGTGGATCAGTAGCCAAGTTTTTTAGTTATACATACATGTATTTTTTAAGTAACTTGTGTATTAAAAGTAATCTGTTCTGTAGGTTAAGAAAATAACAATATTTTCATGTATGCAATTTAGAACCAAATTTCACGGAATTTCAATCATTTATAAATCTGTACAAAATTCATTTCAAATTGAAATCAATAGATAAATGTTAAAAACGAGTAATATACGGTCAGAGATAATGAAAAAAACATACTTTTGCAAATAACTTTGAGGTATTCTACTAAACGTAGTCCCATTGTCATAACTGGTTTCCGACCATTGTCCAAAGTTATCCAACGCTGGCCATTCTGACACCTGAAATATAATAATTATAATTTAACCTATGAATAATTATTGTTTTGAACAATTAGTTATTATCTAACATCGGCAAAATTAACGCGTTTATACAGCTAGTAATAGTAATGTATAAAAATAATAAATGCTTAGTGGAGTCCAAGCAGTGTAGGCTTAGCGGCAACTTGCCACTCTCATTCGTGAAGTTCGCACACTGATTGTGCACCAATGGACTTTCTATATGCGCATTTAACACTCGCTAGTACGGTGAAGAAAAACATCGTAGACACATTTGAATTATTTGAAGGCAATAAAAAATGCTACGTATTTTTTATGTTTTACCTACAAAAGGTAAATCTAAATATTTACTTACTCAAGTGACCTAATACAAAAATAACCAATATTTCAATATCACAAACAATATATCGAATAACCTTTAATTACTTTAAAGGGAACGTAATTATCACTCGCCGTAAAACCACTTTTAATGATGAGCACCGCACTTAATAAAATGGATACATTCACTAACAATAAAATGTATGTATAGACTCAGATGTTCAGACTCGTATTGAAATTGAAAAATGTGCAGACCAAAAAGGTTTGCCATCACTGACATGTCAAAAAATGATAGCTGTCAGAATTCTACGGGATTTTTTAATTAAATGTCAAACTCTTGACAGATTTAATTTTTATTGATGTTCTAGAATTCAGCCCTAAATGGTTGTTAAGCTTAGGCTTCCTAGAAGAGCGGTGCCGTTATCTAACGGCCGTAATGTAGCGTTGGGTGACGTCCCCCTACGTTGTCTATAAATAACATCGGAGTAGGTTTCCTAGAGAACGTTAAGTGTCACCGTAACGTCAAATAGCGGTGCTGTCATTTGCATGACGGCCGTCATACGGCGGTGATAAACATTAGTTCAACGTTTCCGCGTGTAGCGATGCCCATATTTACTTAATACAATGAGTGGAAACGTGACTTGGACGAGCGAAAATGATGTTTTTTTGCATTATATTAAAAAGTAAAGACGGCCGTTAGTTAACGGCACCGCTTTTCTAGGAAACTTAAGCTTTAGAAAGTTTCTGGGTTAGTAGTATAAAAAGAATGTCTTTTTCTGAATACTTTGTTCGTATACCCTTTACCTACCTAACTTTACGTAGTAACATCTGTGTGTTAAGTACTCACCGTGTGTGTAGTAGCATTGATCCTTAATAATTTTAGTAATACTTCCAATCTTTCGTGGACGGGTCTGGCAGGAGATAAGGAGGGGTTACTCCGCTCCACTGCGCTGTCCATACTGTCCAACTCTGCAAGGTATACTGTGTCAATTGTTATTATGTAATTTTAAAGAACTTATTGAACGCCTATAGTCACGTAAAAGATTACATTACATTGGTATATAAAAAAACATCAAATCAAGAAAAATAATAAAAATCATAAAATTAATGGTAATGTGATTTTACACACATATATATTGTATAATCACTACATAGTATAAAACAAATTCGCTTTCTCTGTCCCTAGATCTGCTTAAATCTTTAAAACTACGCAACGGATTTTGATGTGATTTTTTTAAATATATAGAGTTTGAAGAGGAAGGTTTATATGTATAATAATATCCATTAAATAGTGGAGAAATACTATTATTTTTGAGGTTTCTAATGCGATGTCGTAAATAGTTAAATTTTTTCCGCTTACGGCCACGGGCAGTAATGAACAAATCAAAACTACTGGATCGATTTAAATCATTTTTTCAGTGAGTGACATAGGCTATATATTTAATACCCGTGCGAAACCGGAGCGGGCCGCTAAATTTTTATATACAACGTTCACAGTTTTTCTGTAGTGTAATTAGTATCAGCATTGCACCCGTGCGTAGCCGGCGCTGGTCGCTAGTTAGTTTAAAAAAATCAGCAGGCACTTTTTGAAAATTCTAAACATAATAGTATTGGCCGAATGGCTTCAGCGTGTGACTCCTCCCTGAGGTCGAAGGTTCGATCCCCGGCTGTGCACCAATGGACTTTCTTTATACGCATTTGACATTCGCTCGAACGGTGAAGGAAAACATCGTTAAGAAACCGGCTTTTCTTAGACCTTTCCTTTTTATAATTAATGTAATTTTTATGATTGAATATCCCTTACATTTAACTTACTAATACAATATTTATTTGTAAACAATAATAACTATATGGACTTATGATTGTGAGCTGAAATAAATAAATTATTATTATTTTATATCACTCGTGTAGTCAACTGATAAGAAACATTTTTAAAACTCTATACTGTTATAGTTAAAAAATTTAGTAGTGAGTAGTTATAGAATATGTGAAGTCTCCCATACTTCAAATGGGACATTAGAGAGAAATATTTCATTGATTCTATATAGGCCAGTAGGAGATCAGCCTATCAGAGTTTTGTTTTTTTCGCGTTAAATTTTACTAGGATTCGAACACGCGATATCAGGGTTGAGTATCCCTATTTCGTCGTATTAGTATTTAGTACATACGGTCAGCATAAAGCGGTGTAGCGTCAACAACGTGGACTCGTAGTCTCAAATGTTGCCAGCCGCGGGCCGATCGCACTACGGCCGCTAACTGCAACGCGAATAAGGCTCTCACGCTGAAAGCCTCTTCGCGGGACGGGGTCAGAAGCTCTACCAGCCACACGTCTATGTATTTTAGGCTCGATGAGCGTCTGGAAATAAATTTATGATTTTTATAAACGTTGGTAGCTTATTGGTTAAAACTACAGAAATATAATATGTAGCATAAAAATCTTGATATTATAAAAAATTCAAAGAGAATAGTGCTGGGTTAGTTTTCACAACTTTTCGCTTACCCCTGATTTATTTATATAAAGGTGTAGGTAGATACAATATTTTTTTGATAACATCTAATAAGTAACGGAATTAATTGAAATAAGCAGTTGAATGAAATAGACTTTTGTTAGAACAAAAATTTGTCATGTTCAATGTAAAATCTATGCTATCAAAAACATAATTTGTAAAAAAAGTCTCTTAACGCAGTTCTTCTATCGTAAAAAGTTGTGAGATTCATCTAATACCAAGTCGGTCAATTTATTCAGTCCTTACTTAAGATACCTTTTGTCTTAAGTTATTACGAAATTAGCTAGCCTAACAATATCTTAGTGACTATACCAAAATTAAAAATCTTTTATTTTTTAAATATGTATTTTTTAATTATGTACGTATTCATGACATATGAAAACAAAGTGCGTTTGCCGCGTCAATCTAATTCTTAAAGTTATTCAAATTAAATAAAATTTGAAATAACAGTATATTTATTTATTAGACGAGAAAGGAATATTTTTATTTGATATACTTTCATAATTTTATGATATGGTAAAGGACAACAATAATTGCTGTATTTCTGTTTAGACCAGCGTTTCTCAATGTGGGTCCTAAGCCCCACAGAGGGGCAATTTGATTGTACCTTGAAGGAGAGGTATCAGTTCGAAAATGGACTCGACGTTATTCATTCTGTGTTGAAAATTTACTTTCTGTGTTTCGTTAAGTTTCTTAGGTGAACAATTCAATTTTTAACATAAAAAATTGTGTAACATTGCCATGTATTTGATTTAAGAAAGTGGCACAAAAAGGAAAACTGGGTCCCTTTAGGCAGGTGTTTTGTGACGCTCCACGTTATATGAAAAGTGACCCGGTAGCAGATGCAATATAGTATGTAAATTGTTTCTTGCTATAGTACGGACGCGGAGCACGAAGAATTTCGTACACAGACCCCTCATCTTATGTCTTTGTCGCTCGCGCATAAACATATTGCCGTTGCGCTCACACAGATGCAGTGACCGCCGTATTCAGAGATTGTAAACCTTGTAGTCATAACCATAAAGACTTGTGGTGGTGCACATGTACTTTGGTTTGTTTTGTTATAAGTAGTAATTCTTTTTTTTAACCCTGAAATAAAAGAACATTCCGTGCTGGGATACGCTCGTGTGTAGTTTCGTTTTTGAGGTTAAGTTTGTTGTGAGTGGTGTTTGTGTGTTTGGTCGTTGAATTTATTTGCTGTTATGATATACCCAGTGTCACTATCACAGTATATACGAATCTAACGACACCTCTCAAGCGAAAATCCATTAAGCCATTCAGGCTGCAGAGCGTGCCAAAGAATTATACATACATACACTCGAAAAACATAACCCTCCTTCTGGCGCAGTCGGGTAAAAAGCTATCCTTGGGTACTTACCTATATTAAGTCGATGATCTTATTTACAAAGCTAACTCAAATTCTAAACTAACGTTTTTAATATTCGTACTTATAAAAAAAATGTTTTTAACCACTGCCAGTAGGCCCAAAGGTCAGTGAACGAAATTCTTCGTGCTCCGCGTCCGTACTATATTAGTACTTAGTAGATATATATAACTAACTGTACTACATACCGTACAGATAAAACATCATATAATAAATATGTAATTTTTTATCAACATACCTCTCTACGGCAGCCATGTCAAGCGTGTGGAAGTTCCTACAGAGACATATATTCTTCTTGACGCTCAGCACGTCTGTTATTATACGGACGTACTCGGACGCGGATATCCGGGTCGATACGGATGTCCGAGCCGGGAATATTATTTCACCGGAGTCCAGATCGAATTGCTCCGTTTTGTATGGTGATGTTGGACTAAAATATTTTAAAAGTATTTAGTATATTTCCAAAACATATACCAAATTGTATTTGTGATAAAATTACGTTTTAAAATTTCCTAGTAAAAAATTATATTTCTAATAAATTAAAAACCAGCAGAATACTATTTCAGTAACACACCCACAGTAAAAAAATCATTTTCTCGCTTCAGACGAGTTTTTAACTAACTTGAAAAATCAATTTTTTTTTAAATTTTAACTATTTAAAGCTCACTCTCTAAAGAAATCCTTGGGCGTGGCCGTATCTCTGAAGCCTAGGAGTACAGTATCAGGTTTCATAGCTCCTAAACCTGCGAGACGTGTCAACTGCGCTGCGCCACTACGGATGGACTCTGCTAAGGATAGCTCCACAAAGGCTTTCACCTGAAAATATAAAAATGATTACATCTTAACATAACATTTGACATCTCCCTTCTCGAAATCACTTTAATGATGCTCAATGAAAAAAGAGGGGATGTTTTTAACGCAACCAATATCTATGTTACATCGATTCCAAAATTCCTAACCTTCCGGGCAGACTAGTTTCCACTCTACAGTAGACCATACCGCCTTGTCTTGCGTATAGTTTTTTCTTGAAACTGTCACAATTTCGTGGGTGTATAAATAGTGTGAGAGATGCTAAATAATGGTGAAGCGACTGAACTTTTTTTTGAATTCTCTAAAATGTTATATATTTAGACGTCATAAAGCATATGTTTTGTCTTATATGTCAAATATATAGACTGACAATTATTATATCAATAAATAAATAATGATATATACCTTAAGATGATCGATAAGTTTGAGCCAGTACTTATGCTCTGAGGCAAGTGGGTCTCCGCTACCGTCCAATTCACCGACCCTCACGTGACCCACTACGAACAGACCGCCCTGGAGAAATTAAGAAAAATATACTAAATAAAGTAAACATTATACCACATCTCAAAAATCTACTCGACCGATTTTGCAACTATTCGCAAAAAACTCATCTCTGTATGACCTTTAGATTCAAACATACATGGTACACTTTAGCACAGCTACGATGCCCACGAGGCGCTCACCATATCCTTGCCATCTAAAAAATGCCCAAGCGGGGAAGGGATGCTGATATATTCCTGCATGGAATCGATCTCCCCTAGCTCTTACTACAAAATCAAATCCGGTTTGGGAAGGATACTAGCGGTGTCAAGTATTGTCACAAACTAACAATGGGCAAGCGTTACGACGCTGTCACGTCGCGTGTCGGGAAGCGGATAAGGCTCTGCTGTTACCGCATCCCGCCTAGGGCGATTGTTGGTGGTGCCTTGAGGTATTAATGGGTAAGCACAAGTCCCACTTAACTCTCCCGCACTAAGCAGTCGAGCTACGGAAGGGTGTGCGCAACTTCTTCACAAAAACATACATATTTTTAAGTCAACGGGAATAGACATCTGTCGAAGTAGACATGGGGAGTAATTGACTGTGGCAAAAATTAATCTGGAATTGTATAGGAAAAACACCTTTTGTATAGCAATCTAGGTTTATAATAATTCACCAAACACATTAAAATATCTTCCTACTGGAGGTTTTAAAATCGACTTAATGTACTAATATTGGTAAAACTTATTCTATTAATTATTATTTGCGTGAAACATTATAATTAATATTAAATTGATTACGTTATAATATTTTTAATAATGCGATTTTTTATCCCTACAAGTAATATAAAAATTGACTTTAATGATCTCTAATCATAATGTTACATACATTGTGTAAAATTCTACACTTTATGTAAAATTCCCTTTAAGACAAATTAGCACGCCATTATGTGTGACAGAATATGCAAACTTTAGATTGTATGTACCACCATAACATTGTTGTAGCATATTCTTGCAAATAAATTATTATTATTTTTCCCTAAGTAAGAAAAGCTAGTAGGCCTAAAATACCATAACATTCAAATAAGAAATTCTATCAAAATTGCTTAAAAACTGATCAAACTCCTTTAATCATTTTAATTTTATTTTATTAGTTTTATTTTAATTGTATCTTTAAATGCCTGAATGTAAGAAATAATTTTAGTTAGTTTCTGTTATAGTACAATAAAACTAACGAATTTAAAAAATATATATATATTAAAGAAGGTTTTGTCTGAAAAGATAGGTTAGTAGCAATAAGCCACCTTGTATACTAAATAAGTAAATTTTGAATTATCAAGTTTATTTTTAAATCTAGAATGTGCAAAAAAAGAGTAACCTTTTTCTGGTCATTAACGAAGTCGATGAGCGGTGCTGCCTGACGCGGGGAAGAGATGAGTAACAGCATCTGAGGTCGCCAGAATTTCACGTGTTCTCTACGAGGGTCTAAGAGGAGTAGGTATTTACGGACCTGAAATGACAATGTTTAGTACAAAAACATTTTACACATTACGCATCCTCTTATAGGCCACACTTAGAGGATGTGGATTCGCATCCCGGCTTGGTATTAATTATTACATGTAAATCTAGTTAAAAGGCCGGCAAGGCACTTGCAAGCATTCTGGAAATGTGAGTGTCCATGGGCGGCGGTATCACATAACATCAGGTGAGCCTCCTGCCCATATGCCTCTTGTTACTTAAAAGACAATAAAATTACGTGCTGAAACGGACATAGGGAACGCAAATTAATTTATTTAAAACATCCTAGATTCATTTATTGCAAAATATGTATTCTTTCTTTTTGAAAAAAATAAAGGCAATTACCACGGTACAAATGTTAGCAGTGACTATTATTGATCGATATTCCCATAAAACTCCAATAAACAACTCGTAGGTGCGCGTGCGCAACTCAAACTTGAACGAGTATCTAACTAGCTTAATTAGTTGTTTGAAGGAAATATATATATCTTTAAATACTTATATAATATTACATATCCTTTGAGTGGATATATCTCAAAAATGATAACCTGATTTTGATGTAACTTTGACAGGGAGTAGTGAAAAGGTACTAAGATGAAAATATATGACTTTTAGGGTCATAATCCAATTCGTGTCTTAAATCAAATCTTCATACAGAAAAAAAAAAGAAATTCTAGAATAAGGGCCTTATTGAGAAATTTCTGGACAGACACTTATAAAATATAGCACACATCATTACTTCTTTTACTTTAGGGCTAATGTTATGAGCGAATAAAAAGTTTTTTAGTCATTTACGATTCCTCAAATATTTTTTTTTTAATTTTAAAATGTATAAACAATGAATATTAAATACCTGATGAAAGATTAGAGCTTGACTTAGACTGCCCCATTTCGGTTCAGACGCGGCCGGCGACAGCAAATGCAACGCGACGACCAACGAACAGCACGCCAAAGCTACGGCGCTCGCGTACGCGGGACGTAGACCGAATATTAGCGCGGCACAACCCACCAACCCGATCAGGGAGGTCAGCCACGAGAAATGTTTGAACGTTGGCCTGAAAGGGATTTAGATAATTGAAATAGCGGTTTTAACGACGGCATTATCGCTTTAAAGCGATCAGGTTTTACTAAGTGTTTAGCAATGGTTGGAAGGATCACCAAATATGTGTAGGATCTTTTTAAATGTTCTTTAAGTCTCAATTTGGGCCGGCAACGCAATCGCGAGCACTGTGGGATTGAGTGTCCATGTGTGGCAAATATCACTAAATATCAGATGAGCCATCTAGTCGTCTTTTTTTTTTGCCTCCTGATCTATTAAAAAATAGTTAAGTATGTATTATTTAATTGTGTTTGTAACGTCTATATAACTTTTCAATCAACGTATATATAGCAATTTGGTTTGCCTTTTTAACTGGCTCATTTGTGGGGTGCTTTTGAAAGTATCTAAATATAAAATTATGCCACAAAAAAATATTATTGAAGTTGATTCGGTAGCTAGGTATTCTACACGACATTGATTAAAAAGTAGATATTATGTAGTGACAATTTTTTTTCGTTAGGCCACGTAACATTTTCAGAAACATATGTGTTTTTTTTTTGTTTCTATAATTTTCTCTCTTCTACTTATGTATATGAAAATTGAATATTATAAAGGTTAATTTATAATATTCAATTTAAAAAAAAAATGCGTTTTTGATTCGTATTGGAATCAGTTACCTGAAGTTAGGCGCAGAGGCGAGATCTAGGCCAAGACAGGCAAGGTTAATAGCGAAGTAACTTGTAATGAAGAGAACTGAATTCACCTAAAACATAATAACTGGATGTTAGTAATGACTAAGTTGGCTGGAGCACCTTGAACACTTGCGCTGTGGAAGCATTACTAAGCCGGCTGAGTGGTTGGAAGACAAGTAGACCAGCTTGGCATAGGACAAGGAGCGCTGGTAATTTATCATTCAGACTCATTTTGGGTTGCAGAGTGTAAGTGACTTTAAACTCTGTTTTTTTTCTATTAAATCTTTTAAGTGTGATAAATAATTTAAAAAAAAAAATAACAATGTGTTTATTCATTATAACAGTACATTCAATGTGTAATATTTGACCCATTTAAAAAAAAAAAACCTGTGTCAGAGTTCCCAGCTCTTCCATAACAAAACCTTATAGTTAAATTTGAAGAAGGTTAATACATTTTTTAATAACAACTTTTTTTAATTGTCTACAAAAATAATAATATTTAATAAAAATATTTTTTTTAAATTTATAAGTACCTGAGCAATAGCATTGAGTGATCCAGTAATAATACCAATTTGAACAAGAAACCAAGACATTATCACAGCGAGGATGGGATTTCCAGATCGAGGCACCATTGGACGGAGGATAAATCCTGAAAAAAATATGAAAAATGATAGATTTACATTAAGATTTAATTAATTTAAGTATTTTTCGCTTTCGAATAGTATTTTTAACTCACCAAAAATATTATCTTTAGCTAAAGCTTCCAGCACCCTAGAAGCACCGATGAGGTTCGAGAGACCAGCAGAAAAAGTCGCCGTAAGCATCCCTATAACAAAAATTTATTTCACAATTACATTTATTTGTATTTTAAAGTTATACTGTATATTTGTGTTGGAAATGAAGCTTATCACTTTTAGAACATTTATAACAATATTAAATAAGATTATGAACTAAAAATTATATTACTTTTTGATGGTCTAACTAAAAAAAAAATAGTCATATAAAAATCCTGATATTTCTGGAATTAAAGTTTATCAGGGATAACATTAGTTCCTTAGTTGTAGTATGTGGTAGTATGTATGTAGTACTCATGTTTTGAATTTCGTACAAGATTAAATGGCATAAATAGCAGCATATTTGATGATTTAATAAGATAATTAAGATAATTTACTTAGAATAACGTAGAATTGTCAAAAACTAATTAAATCAATATATTATAGAGTATAGGCGGCCTTTATCCGTGACGGGGGTTCCGATCAACGGTACTGACGGAAGCTAGGATAACAAGAATAAAATGTAATAACAAATCAAAGCTGTATATATACTACTTTTGTAATGATTGGAAATTAAACAGGATTTGATTATTATATATATATATATATATATATATATATTATATTATTATTATTTTACAAACTTGGATTTCGAAAGTTACTAAAACGCTTTGTAAGGAAAACGTAGAAAACTCACCAACGGCAATAAAAGGCGACCATACATTAATAGGTAGCAAATATACGTAGTTATTCTGAAGAAGATCTCTCGAACAAGTGGCTGCAGTTAAAAATGTCAACGCGATGTATGACAACGCAGTGAAAAATAACGCAGTAAGGGTACCTAGAGGAATACTGCGCGATGGAGATTTAAGTTCACCTGAAATAAATTCATAATTTATATATAGTTTAGCAGTGTTGGCCTAGTGGCTTCAGCTTGTGACTATCATCCCTGAGGTCGTAGGTTCAAACCCCCTCTTTGCACTAATGGAGAATTCTATGTGCGCATTTAACATTCGCTCGAACGGTGAAGGAAAACGTAGTGAGGAAACCGGCCAAAACCAGACCCAAAAATTCGACGGTGTGTTTGGCACAGAAGGCTGTCCACGAACTTGATCATGGAACAGATACAGAAATCTGAGGCCCAGACCTAACAAGGTTGTTGCGTCACTGTTTTTTATATATAGTATAGTAGAATGACTCTGGTCGAAAGGTGAATAATATAAATTGAATAGCAACGTTAAAATAATGCTAATGAATAAAATATTATAGTAAGGACATTATTGGCAATTAAAAGAAAGTTTTATCATCTATGTCGTAAAGCTAAAATTCCTTTACACATTAAAATTATTATACATCTTAATTACTATTTATAATGTATTGGTCACTTGATTGTGCTTGGTAGAATATCCGCAGCGCTAAATAACCTGCATCATGAGCACCCTCAATACACACCCTACACATACCCGACACCCACACACATACACAACAAAACAGGACCGCAACAATAGTGAATCGGTCAAAGTGGGAAGATGGCATTTTAGATTGATAAATGTCAAATTTCAATCTGTATGTGTGTCATTTTCATACAAATATTAATCCATAAATACCGAACGGTCCTCCCAAAGATGGTTTACAAAAACGATTGACTATCGATCCATCGATCGGTTTTTCAGAAGTAGTTTATGAAAAATGGATTGAAATATCAATCTTTAGGAGTAAAACTTGGACTGGGATTGTGTATAGAGCTGGTTTGAATTAGGTATACTTAGTGAAATCTAATCTATCTAATTGGTGGATACAGGATTGCGAACTTGCGTTACGCGGATGATACCACTTTGTTTGCATCCAGTTCGCAACACTTGGACATTTTGTCAAGGATGGAACGAGTGAGCCATGAGTTTGGACTAAAGATAAATCGCAGCAAAACCAAGGTGATGATTGTTGACCGTGCCAGAAATAATTCGCCTCAAGTGACTCAGAAACAGGAATATAACAAAAGCCACGAAGACCAGGCTCGTAAAGACACTTATATTCCCCATATTTCTGTACGCAGCTGAAACGTGGACCTTGCGAGATGTGGAAAGGCAGAAAATAGACGCTCTGGAAATGTGGTGCTGGAGGAGAATGCTTGAAGTTTCGTGGACCGAGTTTCGTACAAACGCCTCGATTCTTCAAGAACTCGGTATTAAACAGCGTCTGTTTTCAACAGTACAATCTCGCATCCTTACATTCTTCGGACACGTATCTCGGCGTGGTGATCAGTCCATAGAACCGCCTTGTCGTCCAGGGGAAGGTGGAAGGTCACCTACGCGTTGGACTGAGCAAATCAAGTCTGCCGTAGGAGATTCACTCAATCAGTGCAGCAGGATGACCTCTAATAAGGCAACGATGGCGAAACGTCGTGAAGCGCATCACATCTGCTTCGTCTATTACCACTACTTCATAGCGATCACGACCGCTCTGTTAAGAGTGTAAAGTTCCGTAAATGTTTAAACATTTTTGTATATATAATATTATGTTTTTTTATTTTATAGAACAGGGGGCAAACGGGCAGGCTCACCTGATGTTAAGTGATACCGCCGCCCATGGACACTCACAATGCCAGAGGGCTCGCGAGTGCGTTGCCGGCCTTTCAAGAATTGGTACGCTCTTTTCTTGAAGGACCCTAAGTCGAATTGGTTCGGAAATACTTCAGTGGGCAGCTGGTTCCACAAAGTGGTGGTGCGCGGCAAAAACTGCCTTGAAAAACGCTCAGTTGTGGAACGGTAGACGTCGAGGTGATACGGGTGGAATTTCGTACTCTGACGTCCGATGACGAAACTCAGCTGCAGGTATTAATCCGAACAACTCCTCTGAACACTCCACTCCACTTCCATGGTAAATGCGGTAGAAGATGCAGAGTGACCCCACATCTCTACGCAACGCCAAAGGATCAAGCCGCTCGGAGAGGGATTGGTCGTCGACGATTCGAACCGCTCTGCGTTGAATACGGTCAAGTGGAAGGAGCTGGTACTGGGGAGCCCCCACCCAGAGGTGAGAGCAGTACTCCATGTGGGGCGGAATTTGCGCTTTATATAGTTGCATGCGGTGGCCCGAAGTGAAGTACCGACTCGCCTTGCTGAGCACACCAAGCTTTTTGGAGGCTAATTTAGCCTTTCCCCTCCAAGTGACCGCGAAACTGAACGTCGTTCGATATGTCAACGCCAAGTATTCCAATGCTGGCTGTGGCTTTAAGAAGAGTGTTTTCGAAAAGAGGAGTAGCGACAAAGGGTGTTTTTTTAGCGGAAAACGCGCAAACTTGTCTTCTAGGGGTTAAATTGGACTAGGTTTTGTCTGCCCCAGTCTGAGACTCCACGTAGTAGAGTTTCGACTTCAGACACAAGTTTGTTCCGGTACTCATCAACAACTGCCCGAGAAATACCTGCCCGGCCAGTGTAAAAAGTATCCCCAGTGCTGTCATCCGCTTAGCAATGAATGTTGCTAAGTTGCAACATATCATTGATATGCAAAAAAAAATAGGGTCGGGGATAGAACACAGCCTTGTGGGACCCCAGCGTTCACAGGTTTAAGGTCGGAACATGCTCCGTCGATGACGACCTTGAAGCTCCGATTGGCCAGAAAGCTGGAGATCCAATCGCATAATTTCTCGGGAAGCCCATAGGCCGGAAGCTTCGAGAGCAGTGCTCTGTGCCACACCCGATCGAAGGCTTTCGCTATGTCCAAACTAACCGCTAGCGCCTCCCCCTTGGACTCAATTGCCTCTGCCCATCTATGTGTAAGGTATACAAGAAGGTCACCAGCCGAACGACCACGACGAAAGCCGTACTGATAATCGCTAATCAGCTGGTGGCCCTCTAGATACCTCAAGAGCTGGCAATTAACAATGGATTCCATTATTTTGGAGAACAAGGAGGTTATGGCTATTGGGCGATAGTTGGACGGATCAGAGCGATCGCCTTTTTTAGGGATCGGATGTATCGAAGCGGTTTTTCAGCACTTCGGGACAGTGCCAAGCGAGTACAGGTACCGGAAAAGGCGCGTTAAGACCGGAGCCAACTCAGGAGCACAGGTACGCAGCACAATTGGGGGGATACCATCCGGCCCGCTCGACTTATGAATGTCCAAGGAAGATAGTGCTTTGCGGACAGCACGTTGCCGGAATGTGATTTCCGGCATCGAAGAATCACACCGCGAAATGGTCGGTGGTGATCTTCCTCGGTCATCCAAAGTCGAGTTGGACGCGAAGAGACAGCCCAAAAGGTCGGCCTTCTCTTTCGCAGTGTGGGCCAGCGAGTCATCCTCCCTGTACAGTGGTGGAATGGCGGGCTGACAAAAATTCCCTTGGACAGCTTTGGCAAGAGACCAGAAGGCTCGAGTCCCAGAAGGGAGTTGGGCCAATCTCTCGCCAAATCTGGCAATGTGCTCTGACTTTGCCTTAGTGATTTCCCGTTTGAAGGACCTGGAGGCTGAGTTATATGCTTTTTTAAGTTCGCTGGTATTGGCATCACGAGATTTCGCCGCTTCCGCCCATGCCTCAAAGCATTCTCGCTTTCGACACGAGGCCGCCTTGCAAGAACGTTTAAATCAGGGCTGAGACTTGCCACCGATCGGCACCGCAGAAAATGGAATAAAGAGTTCCATGCCCAGCAGAACCACTTCGGTGACAGAGGCAGCGACGGAATCTGGAGCTTCCGACGAAAAGCACATAGGCCCCAAGGGTAGGACGCAAAGAAAGACCGCATCCCGTCCCAATCTGCTGACTTGTAGTGCCAAATACGGCGACAACCCAAAAAGCGGGGCCGTAAAGGGCGCGTAGAAGGCACAGTACTCCGGACCACACAACGATCTGATGAACCCAATGGCGGGTCAACAGAGTTGACCATCCACATCTGGTATTCGCGTAATCGCAGGGACCATTTGTGTCAGGTCGTAGGCTAAAGCAAAGTCGTGAAAGGATCTTCCCGCGTGATCGGTGGTATCAGAGCCAAGCCAATCGGCATGGTGGGCGTTAAAATCGCCAAGGTTCACGATTTCAGCGGCAGGAACCCTTTCGAGCAGGGAATCTGTAGCCGTTTGAATGTGCTCGATGAGTCGGTTAGTTTCGTCATTTCCGCTATGGGACCTATACAGGCACGCATAGAATCGCGGATGGTCATCGCAGTCTACGCGCAGCCAGAGGTTAGATAGGTCCGTTCCTTCAAGAGTCCCGAGGCGACGAGAACAGATATCCTCCCTGACGTACACGCAAACTCCCGCCCGCGGCACAAATGAAAAAATGTAAGAAGTATCAGCCGGGGAGGATATCTGAGTCTCAGTAAGGAAGAATAAGGCCGGCTTCGCAGTTTCTAAGTAAAAGTGAACCGCGTTTAGGTTAGTTTTCAGCCCCCTAACATTTGTAAAGTCCACCGTGAGCGTGGAAGGGGTTGCCTTAGGTAAATGCTTCCGTTTGCCCCGAGATCGAAACCTAATAATACATAAGTTTTTAGCGCAGTTTTTGCCCCCCCCAGAATACGAAGGGCAGCCTGTGCATCCACCATCGAATACCAATTGTTCCGATGATGGACGCCCAGAGGGGGATTCTCCACAGCGGAAACGTGTGGTACCCCCTGGGGTAATCTCAGTTTGAACTTCATCTTCATACTTATTGTATTGATGGGATGTATTCCATCTTTGGCTATATTTTTTTATATTGATTTTGATTATATATAAGTAATTTAAGTTAGCTTTAGAAGTACAAAATAAATAAACACATTGAATAAACGATTTGTCTATCTTTTCACAATATTTTTTTACTAAAACTTACCACTCATATTAGCCCCCGCCATAACACCAGTGACTCCAGTGAATAAAACGCCGAATACAGACGCAAAATCCACCATCTCACCATCATTTGTACTATAATCCCTCCCATACTTGGGATATAGGTTTTCATAAAAGGTGTTCACACTGAATCCCGTGTATTTAAAGCTAGTTGCGTTAGTTAGAGTATTTGTTTCTGGTTTCTCTATCTGAAATGTGTTTATCTTTTTATAGGCTATTTGCCTCAACGGAAAGATAATCTTAATGACAAAGAATTGTGTTTTAGTAGTTAATACGTTCTAGTATTACGTCACGCAATTTTCGGAGATTATTGACCCCCTCCCCCCATGTAACGCGCCGTAACGTTTTTCTGTACCCAATAATAAAACGTTTCGTGACCACCCAGTGACTCTTTATATCTAAAAGTTACCATTATGTGGTGTAAAGTACTGGAAAGTCGAAAATAATTTTAACAATAACACGTAATTCAATCCCCGCCCCGTATCGTAACGTTCGTAAAATTCTTTTACGAAATACTTGAACGCTCCCTAACTTAGCGGCTAAGATGCCATGAAACGGTGAAATACAATATATTCTTACCATCGCAGGCGTAGTAATGAAGAAACTCAAAAAGGCACTGGCTAAGCACACCACCATGGTGACCCAAATGGCTAAACTGGTTCTAGCAAAAAGCGAAGCCCCGGCCAAAGATACACTTAAGCCAATTGTGTTCAATACTGAACGGTAGAGAAAACGGTACCAATCTCCGTTTGGTAGACCAGGACTGTCTCCCACAAGGTATCCTGAAAGGACACCTTTGTTTTAAAAGATGTGAATAGATAAATATATATAAATAATAGATAATATAGATAAATATATATAAGTTTATTAAATTATTCTTATTTACCTATTAAATTTTATTTTCTAAATATAGTAATAACCTTTTTATAATCAAGTTAAACTTTAAACCATTACTTTATATGCTTACAATATTGAAATAACTTGCAACAACAATTCCTAGGAATTACTAATGTTAATAACATATATGTAGCTCTACCTTAATTAAAAAAGTCTCAACGTTTGCATAATGTTTTATTAACTCTTAGTTTTGCGTGTACCAGCTGTAGTATTATTTAATCAAATTTTAATACTAATAATCTATAAACAAAGTTATTATTAAAAACCTTTTCTTTTTACTTACCATTGGGTCCAAAGTTTTCCACCAACGCTTCAGTACACGCTGAAATACAAAGCGCACTCGATACGACATTAGCAAAGAAGAATAAAGTCCCGATAGCACCACCAAATTCTGGGCCTAGGGTCCTACTTATCATAACTGAATTTGGAGTTAAGTAAATATATGTATTATCAAGTAAAATATAGGATATGTAATATGTATGTTTAGATTGGAGTAGGCACACATCTTAAACAATTAAATGGTAATACAGTCAAAACCGTTTATAACGACATCGTTTACAACGACCTATCGGTTATTACAACCAGATTGTATGGTCCCGTCCGAATCCCTAGTAAACTATTCAGTAAAGAAACCGCTTATAACAACATCGGATACAGCGACATATCGATTACAACGACGAAAGTTTATCGATATTCATCGGATATAACGACCAACCGCTTCTTGTCTCAGTAAAACAAAACAATACAAACGATTTTAAATTTTATTTATAAGCATTGAATGAATATTTAGGCATATTATTACCTACGCACTTTCTCCCAACGAACAGTTTCAGCCAACAACGATTTCCGAGGCTCTTAACGCTGTAACGATTTTGCTAAAATTTGTTGCCTTTAACGAACAGTTTGATACTGGTGATACTCATACCTTGAGGAGTATGAAACGTAAAATGCAAAAAATATTTGAGACTGGGCTAAAAAAACAGACTGACTGATTACTTTTGTACCTAATTATTTCGTAATAAATATTTTTGTTTCTTTTTTGACTCGTTTACATATTATAATATTAACATACCATATTATAACCCATACCTACCTATTCTAGATAGATAACTATGATAATATAACTTTGTACATTGCACATACATATGTACTGTACTTGTGTATATGACATTGCTTATAACGACTATCGGATATAACGTCGGCAACTATACGGTCCCTTCAATGTCGTTATAACCGGTTTTGACTGTATTTATTTATATGTGGAGTGACGGGTAGACCGTGAAACAACTCGTATCGTGTCCCAAATTCTTTGTATTTTTAAAATCATACAAGTACTAATATCGTTTCAAAAGGACAAAAAGTGGTGTAATATTACAAGATAAAATAGTGTAAATGTTATTCCGACCAGGAACATTGTAAAAGCATTAGTAATTCCCAAAATCACAACGCTTTAACCGAGTGACGTTTGTAGGTAATTTGTGTTGACAAGAATACCCTAAAGTGCATGAATTGTGTAGTGCTCAACATATCAACAAAGAACAACACTAAAGTGAAATAGTGAAACAGTGAAGTAGTGTGAAGTAAACTAATTTGTGCAAGAAGTAACGGTACACGTGTCTTGGTATAACTCTGACTCATTTAGTGTCGGTGACGCATGTAACCTGAACAACATTTTCAACCAAATACAGTACAGACGTTTGGTCAATCGGTTAAGTTCCGCCACATCACTCATAGGAAACGAGTTCAAACCTCAGTAGAGAAAAATATTATTAGATTTTTTAAAAATTTATAAAAGCTAAATCAAAATTCAATTTATCATTTTAAATAAGATAATCACACAGGGACACATACTTCATAATAAAAACATTTGTCAATAGAGGGCAGTGTCCGCAAGATTGTTTTCGTAAATGCGAAAATAAGCATACCAGAGCGCAAAACAAATATAACATAGAAAAAAATAATAATAATTCAACCGGTGATACCAACTACCAGCCAGTGCTGCTAACTAGTGTTGCCAACTAAAAATAGATTTTACACACACGTATTAACGCTAACTCACCATGGAGAAACAGCTGGCACGTCTACTAGAAAAAATAATGGAAATTGACGAGAAGCTGAATAAAAACAAAAGGATACTAGGGACGAATTTCGTGAGCAAACAACTGCCCTCACCAAAAGCCTTACCCAAAGTATGGCGTCGACAATAGAAGAAAAACTGAAACCGTTGGTAGAAGAGAATAAAAAACTTAAAAACGATGTGGCAATTATGAAGAATAAGATGCAAAATCTGGAGAGAGAAGTCAGAAAAAATAATTTAATACTCCACGGAGTAGAGGAAAACGAAAGCAATAATGCAGAACTCCTACAACTGGTCCTGAAGGTCCTTAATGAGGTGGGTAAAGATTGCACGCTGGACAACTTTGATAAATGGGAAATAAGTGAAGCTCGTAGACTTGGCTCTAAAGTTGACCAGAAACGCAGGCCTATTCTCATAAAGTTTACTCTAGCATGGAGAAAAATAGAAATCTTAAAAAACAACAAAAGATTCCCTGCAAACATATACGTGTCTGAAGACTACCCCAAAGAAGTACTGCAGAAGAGAAAAGAATTAAAGTCCCTACAACAAGAAGAAAGAAAGAAAGGAAATCTGGCCCTCATCCGATATGATCGACTCATAATAAAGGAAACTGAGTTGAGAAACTCAACCAAGGCAAATGAGAAAAGGAAGCGCTCACCATCTAAAACACCAACGCAATCTGACTGCTATGAAGGTACAAGGCAGACGGCGCCAAAGAAAGTGATTGTAACCAATGCATTTGAAAAAATGACACGCCACAGACCAAATTCTATTTCTGAAACACAAACCAATAACAATTAGTACACAGCGGTCCCCGGAATCAAAACAAAAATAAAACCAAAGAACAGATACAAACAACCAACAAAAAATACCTTTCCCCAAGCCGGACAGCGGTCTCCGTGGGGAAACACGACCGCAACCCTCCAGCTAACCCTCGAGAGAAATCTCTAAAACTTACATTGAAACAATCGAACCAGCCAAAACCCAACCTACCAAAACCAAACCTACCAAAACCCAACCTACCAAAGTCCAGAGAGAGCCAAAGCAACGAAGTCAAATAAACAACAATATTTATATCGGCACGCTCAACGTACTAACACTAAGAACATGCGATCGACTTATGGAACTGGAAGAGGCGCTCAAGAACATTAAGGGATAGGAAGGAATGGAAACAGCTGGAGGAGGCCTTTGTGCCACAAAGGCAAGCTATACAAGAGGACAGCTGTGCTTGTTGAACTTTTTAATATAAATTTATATTTTGTTCTCTTGTATTAGTTGAAAATAAAGGCTTTGAAATTGAAATTGAAATTGAAAAATAATTCTGAATATATAAAGGTAATTTCATTGATTAAGGTAACTAAACGCGTTTGAACCAATGGTTCTAAGTATGCACAGTGTCAGACACAGAACACTTATCAAGGAAACAGTAAATCAAAAATCTGAGGCCAAGACCTATAAAAAATATAAACGATTTTTAAACAAAATTCACCAGTATAATACTCGATACAGAACTTACTTAAGCCTACGACCGACCAGACTCCAGAAGATAAACCACTCCTTATATGGAAATTGTAATTGTTTTTACAACAAACTCCCAAACGAAATTAGAGAATTATCACTAAATAAATTCAAAGCTCTCGTTAAACGTAAATTAACCTATAAAGCTTTTTATAAATTTCACAAATATTTAAATGATCCTAATACTTGGGATTGATTTGCTCCAGTTCAAACAATTTGTATGACTCAAAATTTAGCGATTAAAAATAGTGGCGGAGAGTTTCTTGCCAGTTTTTCTTGCCTGCTCTACGCCCTTGACTTGCAAACTGGTATAATAATTATACTAATAATAATATAGCCTTCTACTCAGATCGACTTAGGTACACACATAAACATAGATCATTATATTAAACTAGGTATTTAAGAAGGTTAAAAAAATAAGCGAACTGGTAGTAAATGTAAATTTAGAATTAATTTAAATTATTTTCTGTTACTTGTTCATAAGTGAACTTGTTTACCTATATGAATAAAGTTATTTTGAGTATGTAAATGGTAGATTACACATATAAATATATATACATTAGATGTATGTATTTAAAGATAGCGATACAGTTTTTAAGATCAAGTCTGAAACATGATATCATTTAAAGGATACAATAAACTCCTCCACCTTCCACAGCACCATTGGTTGATATAGCACAGATAGACATTACAGTAAACCCGACTATGCCATAGGCAAGAGCAAACTGAGCTAATGTGACAAGAGTACCAGCGTTGCCTACTAGGTAACCTGAAAGTTTGAATAAAATCTAAATTGCCACTCTCTTTCCCTTTTCAACACATTAACAGACCAGGCCTGGGTTCCTTCTTGGGTTCATTTCTGATGCCAAAAAGCCAATAGAAACAGCCAGAGAAGTCTTATTAATTTTTATGTTAAAAAACAAATAGTAACATATACAATGAGAACACTCTCATAAAGAAAGCACAATACTGTTACTATTTTATTTGACTTTCTTATGTCTCTTCCACTAATAATGTTTCATTATTTTGCTAAGTGATGTTTGGTAAATCTTCAGCCTGTTCCACTCCATAATGATTATTGCCAATATTGAAATAGAATCTTCAGTCAAAACAACAATATACCTTCAGAAAAAGCATTGGCTTACACTAATAAAGAAATAATAAAAATTCTATGTATATAATACATATTAATAGAATTAAAACATACCCATTCTTATAAATATAAGTGCACTAAACATAGAAAGCACCACCGGACAGAAGACACCAGCGAAAGTACCCACTTTTTTGACCCCAGGGGCTTGAGCACGAAACTCGCCAAACTCCACATATCCTAAAGAAAATAAAAAGTAGAGTAAAGATTGATAGTTACTTTCTAAATTTTCATCTTTATAAAATTCACAGATATTCAAACTTTAAAATAATGGGAGATCTCTTTAGCATAAAAAAATTAATGACATTTTATCAATATTTCTAGTATTTAATTATATATATATATATATATATAATAGTTTATGAACTAAATGGTGTCTAACACTACAATAAATAGTATCCTTAATACCCTAGATATATCTTTACATTATTATTATTATTATTAATTTACAAGCTATTTTAAGAAGCAATAAAATTTAAGCAAAGTTTTTTAAGAATAATAAAAATTAACAATACCACTAGTTTTCTCAACCATGACGCGTATTTACAAATCGACAACAAAATGAACAATGATAAAACTGACCTCAGTAATTTTTCTTAACCTTGATGCATAAATCACTTTTTTTAGTTACAAAACAATTAGATTTGAGAAATCAGTTTTACTTAGGTACTAGATATCTGTCTGTCTATATAATTAATTATTTTCATAACAAAATAATTAATATCAACATATAAAAAATTTAAGAACAATATCTTAATATAAAATAAATCAGTGGCGCTTTTTAGGTCTGGGCCTTAGGTTTATTTATTTATAAAATTATAATTATTTTTTAATTATAAAGAAATGATTAATAGCAGATGTTTTGTAAAAACTCTAATTAAGTTAGGCTTAAAATACTTACAATGAAATAAAAAATAGTATGAAAACTAGATACCTATATAAAGTGGGTGGTAATGAGATAAACAATATCTACATGACCATATATTTGTTTTGATAAAATTTTAATACTAAACAAATCAGCTTTCACTTTAAATCAATTAATGTTCCACCATCCTTTTTTATTATTCATTTATTTCTTAAATAAATAATAAAAACAAATGTAGGTTTTTATTATTTATTTATTGGTATAAAATGATAAGCAGAGTATTAAATTATTGTGGTGCAAAGGCAGAATTTAATAAAATGTATAAAAAGCATTGTTTTACCCTCTGCCATTGATCTTGGTGTAGCAGATCCACTACCAAATCTCATTCTTAACTTATTAATTAGACTTGGTGTGAAGCTTGATTCATTTACACTTGGTGCTAAAGGGTCCATTGTTTCCGCCATTATAGCTGGCTTTGTCACTGTAAAATTATTTAATTTAGTAAATATTTCTAAATATACTGGTATAAAATGTTAATCTACAATCACCGATAACGATTCAGGGAATGGGCTTGAATCATTTTTTTAAATTACAATTTAGGGAAAAATTTATAACTTAATTATAATTATATTATCTTAGGCAAATCAGCCTTCTTCTTGTGCGCCTCCATGCTTTTCATACTATAACAATAATTTCCCAATAGGTTTCTAATTAACCCAGGGCTGTAAAGTAACTAAACAGAGTTTTAATGCAATTTCTGGAATAAACGTAAACATAACAAATAATTACTATATAAAAAAACAAAGATTAAAGTTTCAACTTACTGAGGTGAATATCCCCCATTGCGAAGGAGGATAAGTAATCATTATACGATACGAATGTTTAACAATGTTTACTTGAATAAAGCTACCAGCTGCTAAAACAATCTAGCTATAATAGCTAAGCCCACGGCAATATGATAATACGTCCCACTTTACAAAATGACCTCATTCATACTGTTCATTGAATAGCAATAAATACATTAACTTGAATTTATAGTAGACTTCGTCAAACCATTTAAGGATGTAGACAGTAGAGGCAAAGAAACCATATAAATACAAGTAAAATGACCTAAACTCACAAACTTAAAGTTACAGGAGTGAAACTCAATACAACTTACAATAGTTTAATCCCCGTCGTCTAATATAATGTAAAAAGCATGTATTAATGCATATTCATTTGGAAGCGTGCAGCATTCAATTCCAGTAATGTTTATTTTTTATTATATACGAAATTAGTATGGTTTTGCTTTGTTTTCAAGACGCCCAAACGGAAACATCAACACAAAAAGCAGTTAGTTACAGAATCACGTCAGATATGAGAAAAAAACAAATGTCAACTGTCAGATATATTAAACATTTAAATGTCTGTCTTCTTGGGCCGTTCCGTTATTAATTTCCACAGAATATGCTTCCAAATGTTTACACATAATTTTAATGGATAATGGAAACTCTTCAAAAGGCTTATCTTATTAGCAAAAGCTAGTAAGCAGCTAGCAAGTAGTTAGCTATTTGTATGCCTCATCGGTTCTAGAGGTAACGAGGTTTAGTAAACAGTGTGACTAATCATACATTGTAAGTTTCAGTACTAGATATATTGATTAATTAAAATTTTTCCCACTAATCACTAGCCTTTACCATAATAAACTTTACTTATTACAGATTAGTGAATAAAATAAAGATTATTAACAACTCAAATAACTCACGGACTGCAACAATATAATATAAATAGACATAACATTTATTACATACGAAAACACACACACAAAATAACAATACTCAAAGAAAAAAATAAATAAGACATATCAAAAACAATAAAAATAAAAAATCCCTTTTGCCATTTGGTTTACTTCAAGTGTGCAATGTGTGTGTACTGTGGTTGTAATTGGCCCTGGCTCAGCATTATGCTGAGGAGCAAAAAGTTCCACAGCACTGGTCATTCTGCCAGAGACCACAGCAGCTAGTTTGCGCCTCAGTAGCAAAGAAAAATAATAATAATACTAAGTACAAAATAATAATAATATTAAAGTTAACAGTTTGAGTAATGAAAATCATGTGTAAGGGGTGTATAGTAAATAAAATAAATTTAAAGTAAATAAATACCTGTTACAAAATATTTCATTTTGTTTATGTGAACCATGTGTACTTATTTATTGATCACAGTGTCAGGTATTAGTAAGACAAAAATAAAAACACATACAGGCTGATAATTTTATTTATATAGTGGGTAGTAAAGTTTAAATTGCTTATTGTAAAGTTTCACACCAGGTCTTTATCTTATTTTACCTATTACAGAATACAGACAAAAAAAAGCTATCATAGTATTATTAATTAAACACAAACAGATGTTTAAGATAGGTGCTAGTACAAATTTACTTATATTAAATCTAGTCCTTAACCTACAGCAAATTAATACTATATTCTATCTAATGATTCCAACATAACGATACTGTTTCCTCGGATAACCTGTAAAGAGAGGAGGCTTTTAATACACAAGCATTGCATATTTATATTGAGAATTCTCTAAAAAAGCAAAGGCTTGAACAGATAATAATATTTCAATTTTGTTATGATATACACATATAATATACTGAAAATATATTTTAAAATTATGTTGTGGCTTTTAAATGCGATGAACACGGACTTAAACTGCGTTTATATAATATTGTACATACCACCATGCCTATATTGTTTCGCTGGCCATCTTTTGTTTCTTCTACGGATTCATCAAGTACCAAATTCATAAACGGATCAAATCCTCGAAGGACACCGGTGACTGCCCGCCCAGCGTTTAGCTTTAATGACAATTTCTTGTCCATAAATCTGGAGATACAACAAAACAAATGTAAATCAATCTGAAAACGGGCATGATAGATGCAAGTAACAGATTAAAAGTAAGAAAAATTCAAATACATAAACTGTTTAAATATTTAAGGTTATGCTTATGGCTACTCATAACTTACTTTTTTAATTCTGGTGGATGTGCTTTCGACATATTAGTAGTTTGAAGTTAATAGGATTATTGATTTCGATAGTTGATAACAATATTACAATACAAACTTATTGCAATAGAAAAGTAAAGAAAACAATGACGCCAATCGCTTGTTTGAGCAAATAATTTCACAGGACACAGACTACAAAAATTTGTGATCACACTTCACAGTTCACAGTCAACATTCCTGACTTTAGTTTTATAAACCGGCAGCAACTACAGACTATGGAATATAAAATATAATATGGATCGAAAAAAGAGTGCATTTAGGGAATTTAGTAATAATAGAAACATAATTTCAGTATTTAGTTATTTGAACAAACTTAGCTTTGTCTACTATAAAAAAAATTACAGGAAAATAATTATTATGAGTATACTTCTGTCGTTGTTGTTAGTATGGAGTCTGTCATATGTCATGATTCAAGGCCAAGCTTGTTTATGGATAATGGAATTATTATACTACAGATTTAGAGAGTTTCAAACAAGTACCGGGAAATGTTGAACAAATATGTTTTGAATTTATACGAGTAATGATCATTCATTTTCGCTGAACTACCCTTGTCTATGTTTGGAACAAGTACAACAATAGCAACAAGTAGACAGCTGGGAGGATGGAAGCTATGATAACCCGTCCTTTTCACATGTAAACAGTTTCAGTTTGTGGCTTAGAGCATGGTTTTAGGATTCGTAAATTGTTTTCGGTTATTGTGAAAAGTTTGTGAAAGTGATCTGTAAATATGGATGAGTCCGGCATCGATATGGGATACGATCTTGCATCCCTACTGACGAATGACTTCAATGTTGACCAGAAGATTTTGGAGGAGATGACGACCGGTCCGCCTCAGCAGGACTTTATGTTTTACGAACTTAAATCGAAAGCAGTACCGATAACTGAAAGGTAAGCATTATTAAAACACGAAACACATTTTCGCGGCATTTTTTGAATCATATGTTCAGACTATCTTTTTGTTTTAAATAATATTGCGTAGGTATGAGGAACAATTTCTCCGAAGATGCTACTCATGGCCCTGAAATCTATTCTTGGCACATGTTCAATTAATTATTTCTGCTTACTTTTTAAACTAAAGTAACCTGGATATAACTAACTTTCTAATCCTATAAGTAATCCAGTTTAAATACTATACTTGGTCTGAATTGGAAACCATTTACTATTATTAACAAGTAAACATTATGCAATAGAACTCAGTATATACATATTTCCATGTGAATACAATTAGAAGAGCATTTACAAACCAATTAGAATGAAGCCATTCTTTTAACATATAAGCCTAACTGTTTATTTCACATAATGATCTAATAACAATAATAAAAATGATAAGATTAACATATAATAGAGAGAATGATAATAATATTGTAGCATTTTATTTGTAATGAAATTGAAAATTCAATTCAATCAATAATTATTGTTGTTTTACAATATTTAATGAAAGTTTCATTAAATATTGTCTGTTTCAATGAAACAGACAGAAATGTGTTTGAATAACTTCTCATTTAGAGAAACTGTAAAGAAATAAAATTTTAACCTAAGGAAGAAACTGAATTTAAGATGAAATAAGGATCTGGCATAAAAAAACACTACAATGTATATAACTTTTATATTATTATTTTTTATTTGAATAACTTCGATTATAAAATAACTTAATAGATTATTTTGTAAATATACAAATTATTTAATTATTTCCGAACATCACGGGCTTCGCGGGTCATCAACAGAATTTGATTATGTTGGTAAATTAAAGACACTACTTTCCAAATTGACCTCCTTTTTTAAGTCGGGACCGTGTTGCGGACTCGTCGTCAACAAACTTAAATCTGTGAGAATGCCCTGTTACCAGGAGTCTAAAGTTAGCAATAATTTTAATGTCGTTATGACGTGTCCGCGGTTCGCTAAAGAACTTGATTTATTCGAGGTCCCAAATTTTAGATGCAATTCCGGACGAAGCACTAGTTGTTTATTGTTAGTTACAAAGCTTTTCTTTTAAGAAGTACAAGAAAATAGACGTAAGTACTGACCAATTGGGGTGTTACTCGCGTATATTAAAATTCTATACGTTTTTAACATTCCCCGTAGGTTAGAACCTCATGTTTTCTAATGAAAAAACGAACGAAAGAATGCGACCATAAATCGATCGTTATATAGGCGTACAATCAATATCCAAAGTATTAAAAACAGATGTAGGTGATGCAGCCAGAATAACTATTAACTGTATTGAGATGTTACATTTTAGAAATATCTTGCTCACAGTTATCTTCTTCGAGAATTAATATAATAGGTGAGTTATAGTAATTTATATTCTAGGTTATGTTTGATAATTGTTCTAAAAAAAATTTGTGTGTAACTTAACTAATATTTTGTTAAAGAATTTATGTTGTTTTTGTAAATCCGACAGATGGCGTTATCCGAGACAAACAAATTTGCCAAATTAAATATTTACTAATGGCATTTCTATCACGATGGAATTTCACTACCCTTTTTGTTTAGTTCATTCTGCAAGAGGCGGTCACGAGACCCAGTCACGTAGTTGGTTCGTGATCGCAGTACATTGAACTATTTATCAAAGCAACTAAGAAAATTATATAATATATTGATTGTATTCATAGTACCTATCACTATGGGTATCACAAAATTTGAAATGCGTAAAATGTATGGACAATATTAGCTGCGTTTACGCTCTGAGATTTTTAATAATCTTTTTTTACTTCTACGTATACTTTTACCTTTATTACACCTCTACCAGTAGGTCTTGTAATGTTTGACATACACATCATTGTATTTTGTATACCAAAGCCTGTATGTATTGGTAAGATTCGGAGACATAACTATTAAAATATGCCTTCCGTCATAAAATCCTTGAAATCGATCTCTGATGTTTCTTTTTGTCGTACTAGATACTAATAAGAATAAATCAATTGGTATTACTAATTAATTTTTTTTAATTAAATTATTTAAAAATAAACTGTATCGTATGTCATCAGTGTTTAATGTTATTTAAAAAAAATAATAGGTCTATTTTTTTATGACACGAAGGCCATGTTGTACCTGATATTGTACTGTTATATAAAGAAACCTGACTAGAAAGGAAGTGCTGTCTACTTCTTTCCCTGGTTATGCAAATATTTTATATATTATTTATGAAATACTGCATAGACCAACGAGAGATAAAAAAATGTGTTTATTCTTGCATTACAATGTGTGAGATGTGGTATCCCTTGTAAGTAAAAAATACCTGTCAGGGTTCCCAGTTCTTCCATAACAAAATTTATATTTACATATTTCAAAAAAATACAATTTTGTTTTTTTAACTGTTTGCAACTAAATTTTTCCCTATTTTTTAACAAACAGTATACGCGACGCTTAACACGCGTGAGTGTGTGGGTGGATTTGAGTGAGTGAGTGAGTGTAATGAATATGAATGTGTAAATTACATGTTAGGTCTCAGTAATTTATATATTAATTTTTTCTTCCTTCATTCACCTTGTATTTGCGTAACGTTCCCACAGTAATATAAGTGCGTGTTCCTATGCCCCATGCCTATTGCTGATAGAGGTTAAAAGTTTATTTTTCTTATTTATTTTAAGATGTGATGAGGAGCATGGTTACAATCAACATTTTGTAAATACTTGGCGATTTAAGAGTGTCGGTGACCTTATTGCCAGATCTTCTGAACTTCTGAACATATTTTTAATAGCGTTCGTTCATTACCTATATGAATAAATTATATTTGGATTTTATAACATTGGCAAATTTTGGAAATTGTTAAATTATTTATTTCACGTTTTCTCGCTATATGCAACCTTCCACAACATTCCGGATTCAGATAACACCTCGTGGATCATTGGGTTATCCTTATCACTCATTAGTTGTTATACCACTTTATACATAATATGGTTTTGCACTTCCAAAACATTTATTTATTCACAAAAAATACAAACTATTTAAACAAAAATAAAATATAATAAAATATATAATATTAAATACACAATATCGCTACTGTGAACTCGCTTTGAACATATAAAGATGTCGATAGTGTCGGAGACATTCAGTAAGCGCAACGTCTTTGTTAACGGGGTTCTGTGCAACAGATTGATTCTGGCCCTTGGTATCGCAAAGAACCTTGCCTTCAGCCTTCGCACATATCTCCTGGGTACAAAGAACGCTTGGGTTGCCCAACCCCCGCAAGACTGTGCATAGGTATAGTAGACCAACATACAAATGATTCTTAACATGGAATAGTAGAGTTATATTGCCACCGCGAGCTGTCAAGTTGTGATTAAACTGTCATATTTAATAGTTGTTTGTTTGACATATTTTGTCTTCGCTCGATATTTTTTTTAATAGATCTGATGTTAAGTGATACCGCTGCCCATGTACACTTAAAATGCCAGATGGCCCGCGAGTGCATTGCCGGCCTTTAATCGCTTCCATAGGATATTTGAGGTCTTATAAGCCGGGCGTTAGTAGTTTAGAAATTTAATATTTGCCTATTATTCTGAATCGTTATCAGTTCCTTACTGCGGACGTAACGTGTCGTTTCACCAGGAATTATTCACGCTACGTTGACGCAATGACGTCTTACTAATGCAAACATGAAACATTGTGAAGTAGAAAATTTATAACATCAGACTGTGTCGCGTGGCTGCCGCGTTCACCTGGCCGTATTTCTTCATTAAATTTACTATCAAACAAATTATTTTTTGCATAGCATACATTAATGTTGAACAACAAACTATTCAGCATTAACGAAAGATAAGACTTTAATAAAGTTTTCACACACAACACTAAAAAGTATATATTAAGCTAGGATAAGATTCAGGAACGAGTTTTGGTGCGAACTTATTTCCATGTGTCAAAATCCAGTTCTGACGTACAGGTGTCAGACTTATCGCTGTCACGTTTCTGAAGATTTTCCTAGGTGTTTATAAAGAGTAGACTATCTACTGTACCGCCCTGGCTTCGCTGTGAAAAATCTGTATATATAACACATCTATAAATTGCCTACATCATATAGGGTTCTCCTTAGGTAATACGACTCTTAATTAAAATCGATGCATAATTGAAATCCTTTTCTATATATCTAATACGGACTAAACCGTTTCCAGTTAGAAGCAAAAGGTTTCCGTTGTCTGGTCGAGCGCGTCGTGCGGGGCTATAAGGGAGAGTTCGTAACTTTCATATTTTGGAACATGTTATCAGTATATTGGGCAGGACATGTAGGAAGACTATCTGGCAATGTGCCATTAGGGTGATTCGGTGGGGAGGCCCCATTGGGAAAAGATACAGCTTGCCCATGACAGAGATACCTTGGAGGAGGCCTTCACCTGCGAAGGGTTTCTTGCAAACTCATTAGAACATAGATATTTTTTAGTACAAATAATAATATGTATGTATATTTTTTAAATAACAATAGGTTTAAGTTTAATTTTATTTGGCAAGAAATAAAAGTTCCCATGAAAATGTAAGTGCGTGTTCCTATTTAACCATGCCTACTGCTGATAGAGGACAAATCTTTGTTTTTATTTTTTTATTAATTACTTAAGATGTCATGTGGAACATGGTGAAATGGTTGCAGCTTACAAACATTGAGTAAAACAAAAAACTTGGCGATTAAAAAGAGTGGTGAAGAGTTTATTACCAGTTCTACGCCCTTGATTTAAGAACTGGTAGTATTCGCATTTAATATGTATTTCTTTATTGACGTTCATAAGTACATTGTATTACCTAAATGAATAAATGATTTTGAATTTGCGTATATAATAGATAGTATATCTATTCTACTTGAACAGTGACCATTCCACTAGTTCCATTTGCTCTAAATTAATTAACGACCTCCAGACGTAACTTTCAAACGCGTGACTATCACGCGCCCAAAGAATTTCTTTATTTGGTATTGATATTGTAACAGTGTCAACAATTACTCTGGAGATAGTAAACAATCAACGTATAAGATAATTATGTGAACCATGAAGGCTAATTTTATTATTTATAACAAAATATTAAAAAAAAAATAGGA